ACAGAGACGAGTCAGAGATTACGTAGGCTGGCTGCTCTTGCAGAGGCCCCGAGTTCAGTCCCCAGCAATCACATGGTGGCTCACAACATCTGTAACTCCAGCTCCAGGGGACCCTATGTCCCATTCTGCCTTGTGTGGACACGCACATATGTGACATTCACTCACACACACAAATGTATAGATACTAATAAAAATAAACCTCCCTTTAAAAGACTGTGTGTGCACATCCGTGTGTTTGCTCATTTGAGCGATGGTGTAGAGGTCAGCAGAGCGTGTCGGGTGTCTTCTATCACTCTCCACCTTTTCCTCTGAGGCAGGGTCTCTCCCAGAACCTGGGACTTGTGCTTTCTGTGGTGGGCTGCACACCAGCAAGCCCAGAACTCCTCTCCCCTTTGCTCCCCTTAGAGTTGGGGTACAAACTTTTGCAGGAACCTCACCTTGTTATGCAGCTGACAGGAGCCAAACCCTGGTGCTCTCGATTTCAGAAGGGGCATTCTTGACTGCTGAGCCATTCCTCCAAGCTGGGGCAGAAGTTTGTGGCAGTGGCTTCAGTGAACCTTTCCTCCACGTGGTTCATTCATTCATTCTTTCTTTTCCTGCTCATCCTTCTTCCCCAGATAGTCTCAATGTATTTTGTTTTTAAAGATTTATTTATTTGTGAACACGTTTTGCCTGTGTGTTTGTCTGTGCACTACACTCCTGCCTGGTGCTGGAGAAGGCCAGAAGAGGGCGTCACATCTCCTGGACTGGAATTTAAGACAGTTGTGCACTGCCACGTGGGTGCTGGGAATTAAACCTAGGTCCTTTGAGAGAGCAGCCAGTGCTCTTAACTGTTGAGCCGTCTCTCCAGCTCCTCTCTGTATTTTTCATTAAGGTTGGCATAAGCGACTCCATTCCGACTCCGAGGACTTTCATAACATAATCCTAAAGGATTTTTCCTAGTGTCATCTGTCTTTCGGTGCCATTTGTCATGACAAGTGTTAGTGCAGGTTAACGGGGGGGCTGTGCCTCAGGAAGCCTCAGGGCTGGCTCTGGGCCTGCTAGCAAATAGCTGTGGGACTGTGTGCACCCTCGAGTGTGTACACACATTCGTGTGTATCCTTGAATCTGTGTGTGTGCATGGGTGTGCACACGTGAGCACACGCATGTGAAGGCCAGTTCCCCTCCACCCTTTGAGAAAGAGGCTTTCACGGAACCGGGGCTTGTTGGTTCTGCCAGAATGCCCGGCTGCAGAAGTCCCGGATCCTTCCCTCCGTCTCCTCCACAGGCTGGGCGGGCTCTCAGGCGACGCTGTGTGCTCAGCCTTTTACGTGGATTATGAAAATCCAAACTGGGGTCCTCACCCTTGCTCAGTGTGTGATGGCCTACTCAGCCCTCTTCCCGACATGCTGTGTTAGCGGGAGTGAATCATTCTATTTCTGTGGAATTAAACACTCAGAATGAGAGAGTTTGTGTGTGGGGAGAAAGACACAGTGGAGGGCTGAGGTCACTTCCTCGCCTGTACTGTGTGAGCAGGGTCTGAGATGGCCATCCTTCTGTACACACTTAGGGTTAATCCTTCTGTGTACACATGGGGTTAGCACAATCTTTTGAGTCTCATCATTTGGAGAGATGAGGGACAGTGTTCTCTCTTGCATCTGCTTCATTCTAAAGTGAAAGGCAGGGACCCTGGGAAGCTTCTGGGCCACCCGCTGGCAGAGCCTGTCCAGCCTGTAGGTCACCCGAGTTTCTGGGTGACAGAGTGTGTTTTGGGGAGGCCTTTCATGTTGGGAGCTCTCCATGAAGTCACCTTTCTGATCAATTCCTTAAAAATAGAAATCACTTTTTAAAATGAGAGATGGCTCAGTAGTTAAGAGTGTGCAGGGCTCTTGCAGAGGAGCAAGTTTGGAGGCTCAGAATTGCCTGTAGCACCCACTCCAAGGGAGTCCTTTCTGTTCCAAGGGCACTTAGACATATGTGTGCATATACACAGACACATGTAAGCAAAGGAAAACAAATACAGTGTGGTCATTCTAATCCCTCTATTCTGGGGGCAGAGCCAGGCAGATCTCTGTGAGTTCCAGGCCAGCCCAGTCTACATAGGGAGCTCCAGGCCAGCCAGAGCCATGTAGTAAGACCATCTCTCAAATAAATCTTTAGTATCAGTTTCTGATGTTTTCAACAGATGCTCAAGGACCCTCCTCCCTCTTTCTCTCTCCTCTCTTTCTGTGTCTTTTTCTTTCCTTTCTGTTTTTGTGAGACATGGTTTTATATAGCTCAGGCCGGCCTTTATCTTACTGTGTATCTGAGGATAGCTTCAAACTCCTAATCTCCCTGCTTCCACTCCCCAAGTTCCGGGAACGTAAGTGTGTACCCCCGCACCCAGAAAGGCCTCTCTTTTAAGCTGCCACCTGCATGTCTGCAAACCAGAATGTCACAGACTGAATAATCCCCCATGCTAGACTCCCAGCCTCTGGAATACTTGTTACATTACTGGGAAAAAGTTCACAGGCATGATTCAGGCCATGGCCTTGACATGAGGTGGGGTTTATTTGGGATTATCTGGGTGGTCTCCAAATGCAGTCACAGTGTTTACAGATGGGAAGCTGAGAGACTGGCCACAGACACATTGAGAAGGAGCTATAAAGATGGAGACCAAGATGCGGGATGTAGCCAAAAGCCCAGGGTCGCTGGGTAGCACCTGGAAGCCCCAAGGAAGGCTTGTCCTTTGAGCTTCCTGGGGAAGGACATGCTGGTAGATGGTAGCCATCTTATCCCCAGGGCTGTAGGAGAACAAATACTGTTTTAAGCCACTGTTGCTGTGTCACAGCCTCTGGAGGAGACGGACACACAGGACGAGGGCAGATATATAAGTGGTCCTATGGGGCTAGGGAGGGGAGCCGGCCTGGCACATCACTGATGAGTCTGAACTCTGGTTCCACCATCATGACAAACATCGACAGCACCTGAGCATCCAGAGTTCACAGCTCGACACTGACATTTTCTTATCGCATGCTGTACTGTCCTAAGGGCTGGGTTTTTCCCCACCCCTGATAAGGGGAATTACACGGTATGAACTGAGGTGCTGGAAAATGCTTCTAAATGATAAGCTCACTAGTCAGAAGGGAATTAGATTCACATCCAAGTGCTGAGGCCACAGAGAGACAGACAGACAGACATGATAGAATGCTCGCCTTGTAAGTTCAAGGGACTGCATTTGGTCCCCAGAACCCATGCTCAGAAACAAAACCCAGACACAGTGGCACACATCTGCAGTCCTAGTTCTCAGGGAGGCAAGTTAAGTGGGTCCCTGGGACTCATTGGTCAGCCAGCCTAGCCAAGTTCGGGAGTTTGAGGGGCCAGTGAGAGACCACCTCCAAACAACAGAAACAACGGTAAAAGACACATTATGAATCAAAGTTGTGCCGGGCAGGGGTGGCACACGCTTTTAACCCCAGCACTCGGAAGGCAGAGGCAGGCGGAGCTCTGAGTACAAGGCCAGCTTGGTGTACAGAGTGAGTTCTAAGACGGCCAAGGTTGCACGGAGAAACCCTAGCTTAAAAACCAACCAAACCAAAAAGGAATCAGGAGTAGAGGGACAGACTCCCTCTCACACCGTCATCCTGAGGAGTGGTGATGAGGTCTGAGGTGAAAAGGCAGGCAGCACCTACTGACAGTCAGCAGTAAAGAGCCTTGTGCGCAGCAAGCTGAGCCTGCAATGCCAGCGCCCAGGAGGCAGGGCGGGACTGTCTCAGAAACCACAGGGGTTGGGGCTTAAGTCAGAGGTAGATCTGACTGTCCCGGTTCCATCCTTCGGATTGGCTGAAGCAAGACATATAGGTGAAGCCCTGAGAAAGAAGAGTGAGCACAGCAGCAGGCATGAGGAGGAGCAGGAGGATCGGGCAGCTCTGAAACCTCAGAAGAAAGGCTTTCAGGTACCTGCTGAGAAGCATCCTGGGGCTGGGGCTCAGAGGCAGGGGGCGCTTTCACTCCTTACAGAGAGGCCAAGAGAAGGCTGATACTTTCAAGATTATTATTATTTTTTTTTAAACCTGAATGTCTCCAAAGTCTGAGCCCACACTCATTTGTGTCTCTTGGTGGCTGTCAGGAGCAGGTCCCCTGCTCTCTGGGACTCGGGAGAGAGTGAGAGCTCCCACAAGAGTGGAAAATGAGGGGAGGCAAGGTCTCCTGGGGTTGATCCTTCTACACAGACACCTTCTCCGTCACACCTTGTGTGTCCTGAAGCAAAGCTTTAGAATTTGTGCGTGTGGGTGTTGGGAGTGGAACCGTGCGCCCTGTGCAGGGTAGCCATGTGTTCTGCAGAGCTGTGTCCCCAGGCCCTCCAGGGTTTGGTTTTATATTATTTTTCTATTTGTGTCTGAATATGTGCATATACACACGTGTGTCGGAGGTCAGCCCTGGGCCTGGCCTGCAGGGGCTCTCTCCTTGGCTTTGCTCTGCTCAGCATGCGGGCCAGGCTGGCCAGATGTGGAGACGTGCCTGCTTCTGCTCCCCAGCATGGATGCATGAACTAAACCATGACTATCATAGGATACATCTAAAGCAAAACATAACATTTATGCAACTTAGGAATGAATATACAAATATCGCATAGTCTATATACATATACATTTTGGGTTTTTTTTTTTTTTTTTGCAACAGGGTTTCTTTGCATAACCCTGGCTGTCCTGGAAATCACTCTGTAGACCAAGCTGGCCTCAAACTTGTAGATCCACTCTCCTCTGCCTTTCCAAGTGCCGAGATTAAAGACGTGCACCACTACATCTAGCCTGCATGTTTTTCATGGATACATAAGATGAAAGAGCAACCAGGCACAGTGGCACACGCCTTTAATCGCAGCACTTGGGAGGCAGAGGCAGGTGGATCTCTGTGAGTTCGAGGCCAACCTGGTCTACATAGTAAGTTCCAGGACAGCCAGGGCTACATACTGAAACCTATCTCAAAAAATTAATTAACTAGTTAATTAAAAAGAGAGAGAGATTAGCAAGATGGTACAGATCTGTAATACCTGCACTGGGAGGCTGAAGTCAAGGAGGATCATGAGTTCAAGGCCAGCCTGGGCTATGTAGCAAGTCCCAGAACAGCCCAGACCACCTAGTGAGACCCTGTATGAAGGCAGCAAGGTCCAGGGAGAAAAGCTCGGTGATAAAGCTGCCTCACAGCAGCAGCACCCTGGTGTTGGCTCCGGGCGCGGCAGGCATGTTTCAGGGCGTCAGTATGTGAATGCATTCCTCAGCGTCTCCCCTGTGCCTCTCTGACCAGGTCCTCCCGCCTAGATGGATTACACCCTGGAGCCCAACGTCACAATAACCGACTACTACCCCGACCTCTTCACCACCCCCTGCGACCCAGAGCTCATTCTGGGACGCGGCACGCTGACCCTGGCCGTCCTGTACTGCGTCCTGTTCGTGCTGGGCCTCCTGGGAAACAGCCTGGTCGTGCTGGTCCTGGTGGCCTGCAAGAAACTGCGGAGCATCACAGACGTCTACCTCCTGAACCTGGCCGTCTCCGACCTGCTCTTCGTGTTCTCCTTCCCGTTCCAGACCCACCACCTGCTGGACCAGTGGGTGTTCGGGACCGCGGCGTGCAAGGTGGTGTCCGGCTTGTACTACGTGGGCTTTTTCAGCAGCATGTTCTTCGTCACCCTCATGAGCGTGGACAGGTACCTGGCCATCGTGCACGCGGTCCATGCCATGAGGGTGAGGACGGCCAGGGTGGGCGCGGCCCTGAGCCTGGCGGCGTGGCTGGTCGCCGTGGCGGCCGCCGCCCCGCTGCTGGTGTTCTACCGAGTGTCCCCCGAGGACGGCCTCCTGCAGTGCTTCCTGTTCTTCAGGGAGGAGTCCCTGCGCTGGAAGCTCTTCGCCCACTTGGAGGTGAACGTGCTGGGCCTCCTGCTGCCCTTCGCCGTCCTTCTGTTCTGCTACGCCAGGATCCTGCGCCAGCTGCGGGGCTGCGTGACGCGCAACCGGACCAGGGCCATCAAGCTGGTGCTGGCCGTGGTGGCCGCGGCCCTGCTCTTCTGGGTCCCCTTCAACGTGGCGCTCTTCCTCCAGTCCCTGCACGACATGCGCGTCCTGGGAGGCTGCGCCGTGAGGCAGAGGCTGGCCCTGGCCACCCACGTCACGGAAGTCATCTCTCTCGCACACTGCTGCGTGAACCCTGTCATCTACGCGTTCGTAGGGGAGAGGTTCAAGAAGCACCTCGCGGACGTGTTTCAGAAGAGCTGCAGCCACGCCCTCCTCCAGCTGGGGCTGCGGGTGCCCGCGGGGCCGTGGGAGGGGCCCCCGTCCTCGCAGCAGCGCTCTTCCCCCTCCTCCACCCAGAACTGCATCTTGTAGGGAGGGTGTGCGGCGGGCAGCCTCCTCCTCCGCCTTCCTCCCCGCCACGCACTTCTCCCGGTTTTCCAAGGCGGAGTCTCGCTGTGTAGCCCAGCCTGGATTTGCACCCTCAGTCCTCTGCCTCAGCCCCCTGAATGCTGGGCCAGCACCACTCCTCTTCTTTGTTTGGTTTTGTTTTTTTGTTTTTTCAGGGCTTCTCTGTGTAGCCTTGGCTGTCCTGTTACTTTGTAAACCAGGCTGGCCTCGAACTCACAGAGATCTGCCTGCGTCTGCCTCCCTGAGCTCTGGGATCACAGGTGTATTTTACAAGAGATAAAATACTTTTTTTTTCTTCCTTAAAAAATAGTGACCTAAGAGGGATTTTTGTGCCTGTGTTCATAAGAGATAATGTCTTATAGTTTTTCTTACTTATAGTGGTCTGGCCAGGTTTGGTTTCCTAAAACTCACTGAAAAGTATTCCCTTTAAAATCTATTCTCAGGAGCCAGTGAGCCGGCACTGCTTAGAGAATGCCTTCTTAGAGAGGACCTGAGTTCGGTTCTCAGCAGCCTCATGGTGGTTCAGACCATCTGTTAACCCAGTTTCAGAGGACCTGGTGCCTCTTCTGATCTCTCAGGGCCCAGGCACACAGGCAGTGAGCCAACATAACTGCAGGCAAAACACATACAATAAAATCGATTTTCTGAAGTGGTTTGTGTAAAACCAATGGCATTACTTTTTCTTTGGAGGTTTTGATGTAACTTATTAATAAAACCAACGAGGGTACTTCTTTATGAAGATTTGCATTAATTTAGCACACAGATGTTCAGTTTTTTTTTTTATCTGCTTGTGATTTGTAAGGAATTTTGCTGTTCTCTTTAAGTTTACAAATACATGAGCATGAAATCTTCATAATTAACTTGGTTGAGCAATCTTTTTTTAGTGTGAGGATTTCCCTTTCCGGTCCTGATCATTTGTGGGTTTCTGTCTCCTTTTCTCTCCTAGGTCAGTTTTATGGGACTTATCTGTGGCTTAATCTCTGCAGGCAGACAGCCTTTGGCCGCACTGACTTCCTGCCTTCTCTGCTCATTGATTCCTGTTTTTTTATTTTCTTTGGGCTTCATTTTCTATGGGCTCTCTGGAGCTTAAATATCACTTAATGCTACAAAATTCTTTCTGAGCACTTTGCTTTTGGGTGCACTTTACACACTTCAAGTCTGATCTGAGCCAGAAGCCCGAGAAGCTGTCTTCTATCCATCTTGGCCACTGTCCTATTGCTGTGAAGAGACACCATGGCCAAAGCAACTTATAAAACAAGGCATTTAATTGGGGGCTTGCTTAAAGTTTCAGAGGATGAGTCCACGACCATCACGGTGGCAGGCAGGGAGGCATGGTGCTGGAGAAGTAGCTGGAGAGTTTGCATTGAGCCACAGGCAGCAGGCAGGGCGGGGGTGGGGTGGGCGTTGAATCCCCAGGGTCCACCTGCACTGACATGCCTTCACCAGCCGGGACCGAGCATGTGAATGCTGAGCCTGTGGGGCCATGCTCGTTAAACCACCACAGCACGGATCCGCCTGCAGCCTCGGAGGACATGCACGAGGGCTTCCTTTCTTTGAAGTTCACCGAGAATTATTTTACGATGCAAGAAGTGGCTTCCACCTCTCTGCAAAGGCGGCAGCAGGCTTCTGCAGGCGCTCGCCATGCACCCAAGGCTTCTGCATTCTCGCTCTTTCGCCACTTATTTTTCCCTCTTCCTTCCTTCGTGTTGCCTTTGTGAATCAGGGAGTTTAACAAGGGCTGCTTACAGCCGTGTACGGGTGAGGCAATGGCCACTGGCTGTCAGTGAAGAAAATTTCCCTCCACCAAGACTTCTGTATTCTTTACTTTGAAAACAATTATTACTTTTAAAAATTATTTGTTATGAGTATGGAGGTCAAGTGGAAGACAACTGGCAGGAGCTGGCAGTTTCCTTCTACCACGAGGGTCTCGGATGAATTCAGGCACCTTCACCTTTGAGCTCCCAGACAGGCTGAATCCTCGATTTTTCTGGTTGTTTATTCTGTGAGTCACTAGGAGAGGTACAGGAAAATACCCAACTTTGATTATAGCTTATTTATTTTCCATTTTATTTCTGTTCACTTTTTCTGCATATTTTGAAAGGATTGTTCTGCATGTTTGTTTGTTTATATAAATTAAGCAGCTTCTTTTGTTGCTATAAACCACCCCTCATGCCCAATAATTCTTCTTCTTTTGGGGGTGTGGGTGGGCGGGCTTGAATAGGATCTCTCTACATAGCCCTGGCTGTCCTGGAACTCACTGTTTATCCCAGGCTAGCCTTAAACTCACAGATATCTATGTACCTCTGCCTCCGGAGTGCTGGGATTAAAGGCGAGAATCATCCTATCTGGCCCAATACAATCCAAGTTTAAGGACAACCTGGGATACAAAAGACCCTGTCTCAAAGGTTAAAAAAAAAAAGTTTAAGGAAAAATAAAAATAATCATGGTTATGGCAAGAGGATGCGAAGCTGGAATGTCGAGGAGGATGTGAGCAAAGCCACAGGCTTGACCTCTTTGCCTGTACTGGCCAGCAAGACCCCCATCCTCTCCATAGTCTCCGCACCCCCACAGCCCAGTGGGGTGGTGACATGCTGTATGAGGCAGGGCAGGCGAGCGTGCAGTGTGTGAGAGTTGGGGAGCAGAGCAGGGGTCCCCTGGACATCCTGCCAGACTGTAAGCTTCCAGGATCCCCCTCTTTGTCCCCTGCTCAGGTGCTTTTGAGTCGCTATGGCATCTTGACTCACACCAAGCTTTTCCGATGGGACATAGCCCCTTGGTGTGGCCCTGCTGTGTCACTTACAGCCTGAGCTGAGCTCCCTGAACCTCAAGAGGCTGTGGGCAAGATGGGGATGGGGTGAAAGGTGAGGAAGGGGCCATCTGTCCTGCCTGCCTGCCTGTTTGCCCACGCCTGATATCCTTATGTAACCTGTCACTCCTTTTGCATACCTAAAAGATAATTCTTACTAATGTAACCAAATAAACAGCAGATAGCTTTTTAGTTTTCCAACTTGGAGTAACTGATTTAACCATTTGCTGCTTCTGATTCTTCACGTTAAATGGAGCTGGGAACGAATCTAGAGCAGGGTGAGGAATTGGTTAGAACAAGGAGGCTGCACTCTATCGCCACCTGCTGCTTGCTGACTGCTGCCTACAGTTGCAGGGGACTGGAGTTCCCTTCCTGTGTATCCATGGCCCAGGTGCCTTGTTGCTCCTGGAGGGCCAGAAAGCTATGCTCAGCCACCCCTCCCAAACACGCCAAGTAAACAAGGCAAGCATGGAGCTGGAGAGATGGGTTAGTGCTGAGAGGCCTAGAGTTTGGTTCCCAGTACCCACGTCTGACGGGCTGGTCTGGCAGCTCGGAGCTGCCTGTAAGTCCAGCTCTGGAGGACCCAGCGCCTGAGCACATACACCATGCCCGTTCCCCCTTAGCTTCTTTAGCAAAGAAAAGTCGTAGTGAGATGCAGAGGTTTATTCAATGTGGCATTGTCGGGGAGGGGAACAAATAAAAGGGTCTAGAGACTCCCACGACCATCCTCAGGGTCCTGACAGAGACCTGGTCTAAACAGATGGCAAGCGGTGTGCACAGCTAAGAGTCCTGGTCAGGGTGTGGTCACGCTCGCCATCACTGTCTGGGCTCCGTCTCTCCTGCAAGGTGGTCCAGCCAGCGGTGGAGCTGTGAGCAACGTCCTGCTGGAGGCAAGTTCAAGTCCATCCTCTGGCTGGTGTCAGGGCTCAGCCTTCTCCTTCCCCAGCGCTTGATCCTTGTGGAAGCTTTAATTCTTTAGGGTTCATTGTCTTCACAGGCTCATAGTCAATGGGAAGGGCCTGAGTTCTCTCAGGCTAGAATGGCTCCAATGAAGAACCTGTTTGTCATGGAAGGCTGAAGAGCTGCTCTGGTCTCAAGGATAGCTCATCGGAACACGTGACCTAAGAAATGAACACAAGATGCTTTGGGGACATGTGGCAAATTTGCATTTGGACTATGCGATTGCACACATATTAACAGGCAAAGCAGGGTGAACACTTCAACAGCGCCTGGGATACAGCTAGTATCTGCTGAATGTTAAAGTATCTTTTATTCGCCTGATGTAATGTCTCTCCGAGGCTTACTGAGCCATCTGCTAACCTAGGCCTGGGCCTGGAAGCTTCTAGCCTCCGGGCAATCTAACCTAGGCCTACCATGTTTTCAGCTCTGAGACTTACTGCTGAATAATCTCACCCTTTTCTCACTCTTTCTGATCTCTTGCTGGCTGGTTCAACTCAGCCGTTCTGGCTCAAACTTCTCTCCCAGCTGACTTGATTCAAACTGGCTTCTCTATGCTTCTTACTGAATTGCTCTGCGTGGCCTCAAATTAACTCTACCAATCAGTTCTGATATTCTGGCTCCTTCTCAATGTCTGGCTCATTCTGTCTTCACCTTCTATCTGTAAAAATCACCTGGTAAAACTGCCTCTGGCTTCCAAGAACTGAACTGCCATGAACTCAGCTCCACGGCACTGCCCCTCAACTCCCTGACTCAACCGAACTGACTGAACAGAACTCAGAGATCTGCAAGCATCTGTTCTCCTGAGTGCTGGATTAAAGGAGTGTGCCACCAAGCTCATCATCTTCTTCCAAATCGAGAGGGGTGTTGTCAGGAGCTGACATGCTTCAAGTCAAAGGGCCTTAAATTAATAAAATACCTTTAAATGCCATATTCCGTAGGTCTCTGAGGTTTTGAAGACCTCTCTGTCTGTCTGTTTATAGTAAATCTGAGCAGGCAAATGTTGCTTGTTTCTAGCTGTTTGCTATCTGTTTAACCTGGAAGCATATTTTTGTGACAAAGTAGACTAGGATCTGACATGACCATGAATCTGACTGACTAACCATTAACCTGTAATAATTATTCTAAACAGTTTGTAATGGCAGCTTGTAAAAACACTGGAAGTAAACCTTGCATTTATAAATGAGCTGTATAGGCCCAATACCTCAAACTCAGAACTCAGAGATCCACTTGCTTCTGCCTCCCGAGTGCCGGGATTAAAGCCATACACCACCACTGCCTGACTTCCAGCCTGTTTTCTCATAGAAGCCAGGATCACCACCTTGGGCTGCTGCCTCCCCCATCAGTCACTGAGTAAGAAAATACCTTACAGCCAGATCTAATGGAGACATTGTCTCAATTGTGGTTCCCTCCTTTCAGATGACTCTAGCTTGTGTCAAGTTGACCTAAAACAATCCAGGTCAACACTCCGACAGAGATGGAGTACTGGAGACACGGTTCAGTGGGTAAGGGCACTTGCTGCTCTTTCCAGGATCTGCCTTCGGTTCTCAGCACCCACATAGGGCAGCTCAGGACTGCATGTGACTCCAGCGCTGGAGGCTCAGATGGCCCTCTTCTGGCCGCCACAGGTAGTACACTCACAGGTACATATCCACAACATAATTACAAATAAAAGCAAGGCATGGTGGGGCACGCCTTTGATCCCAGCACTAGAGAGACAGAAGAAGGTGGATCTCTGTGCGTTTGAAGCCATCCTGGTCTACAGAGAGAGATGGAGGCACGGCTACATAGAGAAACCCTGTCTCGAAAAACAAAACCAAAACAAAAAATAAAATATACAAAAACAAGACAAAAAAGAAGAAATGTGAATCCTATTTTTAAAAAGTCGTGTCCAAAAAGAGGGCATTCCACCCTGCTTCAGTTCTTAAATATAACTTAATTAGAGTTAAATGAAATTAAAACTCAGTGCCAAGCGGTAAACAAGCCTTTAGGGCTCTGAGAACCGCTGGACGCTGCAGTTCTGTGTGCCGTCACCGGGTGGCGATAAGAACGCAATTTCGGCCTAGGTTGAGCACGTCACCGGAAGCGGAATCTCACCTTTCTGACTGGTCCCTCCCTCTTTCCCCTCCCCCGGAAACATAGAGCGGTTTGCCTCGGGTACTGAGGCCTGTGGCGGGGGCGGACGGGCGGGGAGGGATGGGCGTGAGCGCCGAGCCGCGGAGCCTCTCGGTCGCCGGGGCCGGGCTCGCGTCCCCGAAGATCGGGACGGCGCGCTCGGCGCTGCTGCCGCCGCCGGACGTAGAGGACCCAGTGGACACGCTCATGGTGAGCTCGTGGGCCCGGTGGGGAACGGCATTGTGCTCTAGGACAGTGCTTCCGGAACATTCCAGTTCTGGAACCTTCTCGCGGTGACAGACAGGAGCGCCCCGGGCACCTCGGGCCTCCCTCAGGCCGCAGGACACCTCCCTGCCCCGCTTCCCCGCTGCCTGCGGGCTCAGCATCCTCGGCTCGCGAAGGCCACGCCCCCTCCGTCGGATTGGCTGTGCGGCCGGGCCCCGGGCTGCCATTGGTGGAGACGGGGGCGGGGCCTCGCCAACCCTAGGCGGAGGCGGGGCGCGTCGGGGGCAGGGCAGGACGCGCCCCTTTGGGGGATGCCTTTAAAAAGTTCCTATCTTAGTTTCAGGCAGGGTCTCACTGTGTAGCCCTGGCTGGAACTCCAGGGTGCTGACACGAAACGCGTGCGCTCACCTATGTCCGCTGTTTTTGGAAATCTTTAAAGATAAAATCGTGCGGCTCCAGGACCATGTCTTTCAAAACTGCATGCCTTTTCTCTCTGGACCGCCGTCCTTCCCCTTGCGATGTGTGCTGAGATCTTGTTTTGTTGCGAGGTGGTAGAAATTGTGGAACTAACTGGTTGTGGAAGGGCTGTTTACTCTCATTGTGTTTGTGCGTAGTCCTGTTTTCTGATTGCGCTTGTAGTTTTTATTTATGTGTTGGGGGTATATACACAAGGGTGCAGGTGCCCAATGACACCAAAAGAGGGCGTTGGTATGCCCGGGAGCTGGAGTTTCGGGTGGTGTGGGTCCTTCCCGTATGGGTGGTGGGAACCCTTCGGTGCCTTCTGAAAGAACGCTGTTCTCCAGCCCCTTCGGATCGCTTTGGTCCGTTCTCACGCTTAGATTCTTGGAATATTCACCATTCTTTAACCCGAGAATGAGGCTGAGCCACTAAAATAAAGTCTGTCTTGAGATTGGAGGTGTAGACTTTGGCAAAGCGCCTCAGCCTCCATCACTCTAAGATAACTAAGCTCAGGGCCCCAGGTCAACACTCAGGTAGAGAGAGGCAGGCCGAAATCTGTGTGATGGTGAGGCTGGCTCAAAACAGGTACCACAGACCCACAGAAAACTAAACCATCCACTCTCAAGGATATGCCGCACACATGCAAAAGTCACAGTGCTGTTCAAGTTTTCTGCTTTGTTTTTGTTTTTGGTTTATCGATTAGAATCCACTTGAGGATGCTGGGGGGTTGGAGGTGGTGGTGCATATCTTTAATCCCAGCATTCAGAGACAGGTGGATCACTGAGTTCAAGGCCAGCTTGGCCTACAGCTAAATAGAGAAACCCTGTCAGGGGAGGGGCGTGGGAGCCAGGGGAAGCTGTTGGCTCTTTTTGTTGATTCAGTATTTATTGGGCCAGCGAGGTGCTCAGGCACTGTGCTGTGATGATAAGACAGTAAAAATGGAATTTCTGCATCAGGAGGTGAAGGCATGGCAGCCTTAAAGTAGGTGCAGGGCCGGAAGTACAGCTCTGTGGTAATGAACTTGGCCAGTGTGCACGAGGCCCTAGGTTCAGTCCCCAGAACAGATGGGTTAATGGGTGCAGTGCTGTTGAGGGCCCTGCAGTGCCTAGAACTGCCCAGAAGCTGTGATTACCGTTTATTCTTGTAATCCTGCTGGGTCAAACAGTTGGGAAGAGCTGGGGAGGTTTTAGCCTTTTCTGGGATGGGACGTTCAGGAGCCACTGGGACTTATCTGGTGGTCTCTGCTCAAGGGAGAACTGAGTACAGGTTTCCTGTTAGACCCATTCATTCGTCTTCCATGGTCAATCTTTTTGTTTTGTTTGAGAGAGGGTCTCTCCGTGTAGCTCTGGCTGTCCTGGGGCTCAATATGAGGCTGGGCCCAAATTCCTTTTTTGTTTTGTAAGTTATTTATATACAGCATTCTGCCTGCACAACAGAAGAGGGCACCAGATCTCACTCTAGATGGCTATGAGCCACCATGTGGCTAGGAATTGAACTCAGGACCTTTGGAAGAACAGCCAGTGCTCTTAACCTCTGAGCCATCTCTCCAGCCCTCCCCCAATTTCCAAAGATTCTCTGCCTCTTCCTTTGGAATGTTGGGATCAAAGGTGTCTGCCACCATGCCTCACTTCCATGTAGTTCCTGACAGGACCATGAAGGAGACTGGTGGTGTCTGCTCTTGTCTTACGCCCTTGGTCATAAGGATGGACCACAGGGGCTGCCCCAGGAGTCTCAGGAGAAGCCCTGGACCTGACATGGGACTTGCTGAGCAGCAGAGGAGCTGAAACAGAAGGACAGGGTCTGTGTTTGTCGCTGAGAAGGGCCAGAAAGAGCACCGTTGTGACAGCAGAGGATGGCGAGCGTGTGTGCCAGGGAGGTTAGGAAGTGCGTGTGCCACAGGAGGGCCTTGCAGCAGCAGCTGACACTTTGTCTTGGGAGAGCTATGGAGCAGCCAAATCCCACTTTTGATTTACACTGAAGGGCAAAATTTGTTGTGTATAACGCTCATGTTTAAACTCTTATTGGGGCTCCTTAAAGCCTCTCCCTTCCAACCCTAGGTAGGAGAGAACGTTAGTGGGGAGACGGCTGCAGACCCCTCACTTCTCCTGGACATTTAGGGTCAGTGGGTTCTTTTGGGGTATACCAATCTCTGTCAATAGCAGACGCAGCCAGCAGGCTCTTCCAAGCTGTGGCCTTGAAGTGTTTCTCTCCGTCTGTCTCCAAGCCACCATACCATCTGTGTCTGGTCTCTCCAAACTGCCATTCGCCACATGCCACCACCGCACACCCTCTTTCTGGACTCTCATATCCTCAGAGCCCTGGACCATGCCTTTCTCTGTGCCGCACGAGGCAGACTGGTACCAGCTGGCAATGACCAAGGAGCAGCAGGGTGGAGTGAGGGAGAGGGATGAGTTCAGGTTTGCAAATGTCACTGAGGAGCCTGTGGGACCTCTGAGCAAGCGGCAGTGTGGGTTCGTCTGTATAGAGCAGTTATGTGTGGATGGAAGGATAGAAACTAAAGAAACTGAAGCGGAAGATGAGAGAGCGTGGCTCAGAGGGAGAACAGCAACCAGTGGTCAGAGAAGAGGACAAAAATGAGAGGATGTGGTCTGTAAATGTATCTTTTACTTGCCTGAGGTAATTGTCTGTCAGAGGCTCACTGCCTTGTCTGCTAACCTAGGCCTGGGAGCTTCCAGCCTCCGTACAGTCTAACCTAGGACTAGAACGTTTTCAGTCTCAGACACTGTTGAATAAGCTCACCCTTTTTCACTCTGGCTGCCTGATTTAACTCAGCTATTTTGGCTCAAACTTTCTCCAAGCTGACTTGATTCAAACTGGCTTCTCTCAGCCTCTGACTGAATTGTTCTGCTTGGCCTCAAACCAACTCTAGCAATCTGTTCTAATCTTCTGGCTCATTCTGTCCTCATTCTCTGGCTCGTTCTCTCTTCAACCTGTCTCTGTAAACTCTCCTGGTAAAACAGGTCTCTGAATTCCACGAACTGAACTGCCATAAACTCAGCTCCTCTGCACTGCCTCTCAATTCCCCGAGTCAACTGAACTGACTAAACAGAACTGACTATAACTCAGATCTGCTTGCTTCTGTCTCCTGGGATTAAAGGTGTGTCTGTGTTCCAGCTGGTTCACACAGACTTAGGTCTCGGGATGTAACTTCTTGCCAGTGCAGCCATGTTCTGAATGAAAATCCCTCTACAGGGTTCATTGCTGGGCTGGAGGGAGAAGAGGGCCCAAGACTATGTATGTGATTTTTCCTGGCACATGCCACGTTTGCAACTCCTGCCCGCTCCTCTGTTATTTACATTTCTGTTATCTTTTTCTCCCTACTCCACCCCAATCTCTTCCAACACCCCAACACCAGGTAGGAGAGAGAAAGGGTTAGAGGTAGAGGGGATGCAGTTCTCATTGCTGCTTCCTGCTGGTCAGCGTCGTCAGGTACCTGTCGTCAGGTGCCAGTCCAATCCCCCTTTCAGATTTCCAACTTCTTGACTCACAATAGCAACCAAGAGCAGCAAGGAGGAAGCAATAGCAGCCTTGTTATTTCTCTGATCTCTACACTCTCTGGGCTCTGGCCTTTATTCTCTCTCAGAGTCCTCAGATTTAAACTATCTGCAGCTGGCAAAGAGCTTCTCTCAGAGCACAAACGAGGCAAATAGTCTGCTGCTGTGGACCATCTGAGTCAGTCCCACATCCCACACCTGGGATTAAAACAAAAACATATATCCACAACACGTTCTGAATAGATTGATTCTTTAGTCTCTGCTGTTTAGGCTGAAGGGCCAGGGAGGGCAGACTGAGGGGTGGTCATCCTCCGGACACGGTCAGGAAGCAGCAGTGTCTCCTGGGACTGGGGAGGTCGCAGTGTGGAGGATGCTGCCCAAGTTCCCAGCTTGAACTGTTGACTTTGACAGCCCTGTGGGCTCCTGTGGGCAGGAGGAGACGTGGGTGGCAGAGTAGGCTGAGGGGCAGGTGGAATGAGAATGCTGTAAAAAACAGCCATGTGAAGCTGCTCTGACAGGCCGCAGACTGAGGAGATGAGTAGTGTGGCAGCATGAGGTACAGGCAGAGGAAACAGGCCAAGGGAAGAGAGACCTGGAGTGGAGTGGGGTGGGGCAGGGAGGGTGGTGTGCCATTGGAAGAAACCGATAGAGAGGCAGGCAGTGATATCAGATGCTCCTCAGACTTCAAGTAGGTTAAGAGGGCCACAGAGGTGGGCCTTGGAGGAGACTTGGGGACCGGACTGAGGGTGCTGACTGGATGGCAGGCCTAAGGCGTGAGGAATGACTGGCACAGAACAAATGGAAACAGAGGCTCTGGAACAGGCGTCCAGGCAAAGAAGAGATGTCTCAGGAAGACGGGGCCCGAGAGGTGTGGGAGGAGGCTGAGCCCCCCACCACCGCAGCGACTCGGGTGAGGCTGAGGAGCAGTGCGGGGAGTGTTGGTTGGCGGAAGAGCTGGGCACCTCTGGGGAGAGGGCATTGGCTGCCAGTACAGTAACTCACTCCAGTGGTATTTGGTGGCGTTTAGGGTGCTCGCTCTCCTCTGAGATGACAGCTCCTGGCATTTGATGTAAAGAGACTTCACAGTCATTGTAGTAAGCCCTCAGGGCCACAGGGTCAGTTATTTAAAAAGTGGTCTATGGCTATGTCACCTGAATGCGCCTAACCTCGATATCCGTGTGGGAAGAAAGGTACAGATGCCACTAAATGAGGGAAGAGAAAGTCTCCAGATGGGCTTTGCCCATCTTGTTTGAGGAAGAGAGTGTTGAAGTGCCTGTTCATTGTCATGGGTGATATTGCTGCATTCTGCAAAGGGGACGGCTCCAGCCCCCTGCGTGAGGCTCCTGGGGTGTGCCTGGGGAGAAACTTCAGAGTCGGAAGAGTGTTGCCCTTCTGTATGGAGCAGGAAGATAAGCCAGTGTGACAGTTCAAGGGCCGAGGGAGGAGCCACAAGCCAGGGTGTCTGCTCTGCAGAGCTGTGTGTGCTCTGCTCTGCTCGGGGCTCAGCGAGCTGCCATAGAAGGAAGGCAGAGTTGTTTGTTTTTTGAGACAGGGTTTCTCTGTGCAGCCATGGCTGTCCTGGAACTTGCTCTGTAGACCAGGCTGGCCTCGAACTCAGAGAGCCACCTGCTTTTGCCTCCCCAAGTGCCAGAATTAAAGGCGTTCACCACCGCTGGCTTGAAAGGCAGAGTTTGAAGCACAGACAAACATGGAGTACTGGCAGCTCCACGAAGTGGCCAGGCTTATGCTTTCATGGGTTTTCACTTGTTCCTGTAAATATCTGCAGATCCACAACCAGGAAGCCTGGGTAAGCCGGCAGCTGAAACTACACTCAGCACAAGGAGATGCTCTGTAACTTTCAGTCAGGACAGACAGGAAGTGTGCCAAGAAAATGGACGTGTTGGCCAGTGGAACCATTATTATTAGCAGTAAATAGAGAGGCCCCTTTTGCTGTGGGCATTTCGTAGATGGGGAGGTGGAACAGGGCTTTGACAGTCTCGGAAGGGCCTCAGAAGAGAAGCTGCAGGCACAGGTGTGGGGAAAGGTGAGGGCTCAGGCAGGCACAGGTGTGGGGAGGTGAGGCTCAGGCAGGCACAGGTGTGGGGAGGTGAGGCCCAGCAGGCACAGGTTTAGGGAGGTGAGGGCTCAGGCAGGCACAGGTGTGGGGAGGTGAGGCTCAGGCAGGCACAGGTGTGGGGAGGTGAGGCTCAGGCAGGCACAGGTGTGGGGAGGTGAGGCCCAGCAGGCACAGGTGTGGGGAGGTGAGGCTCAGGCAGGCACAGGTGTGGGGAGGTGAGGCCCAGCAGGCACAGGTGTGGGGAGGTGAGGCCCAGCAGGCACAGGTGTGGGGAGGTGAGGGCTCAGGCAGGCACAGGTGTGGGGAAAGGTGAGGGCTCAGGCAGGCCTGCTGACACGGCGCTGTCCTATGTTGCAGTTACATCCAGTGGTCAAAGCTTTCCTCTGTGGCTCCATCAGCGGGACCTGCTCCACCCTCCTCTTCCAGCCTCTGGACCTCCTCAAGACCCGCCTGCAGACCCTGCAGCCCTCAGACCTAAGGTAGGCTGCTGCCCTGCCTCACAGGCAAGCCAGACTGAGCCACCTTTCAGCCACAGGCCTGTCTTTACCCATTAAAGCGACTTCATTGCGTTAGAGAAACACAAGCTAGGCTCTAATTCCTTTTTGTTGTTTGTGTTTGCTGAGACACGAGTTTTGCTGTGTCTCCCATGTTGATGACCTTGAACTTGCAATTCCCCTGCCTCAGCTTCCTGAGTGCTGGGTCATGTGCTTTGTAAAGGATAGGGTTTTCTGAAGAGAAAAGTTAATAGGGTTTTATATACATACACATTATAATTTAACTCTTGTTGGTTAAATGGTGTCCTTTTGAGCAGCTCCAGAGGGCCTTCCTTGGTGACATTTGTATTTTTCTTGTGCTTGATTGTGACATTATAATTATGCTGCCTGGTCCTGGGCTTTCGGAAATAACATCCATTTTGAATGTGTCTTTTGCGGCTCTCCGTGCAGTGGGAGCTACACAAAGTGTATGTAAAGTAGGGTTTTCCCATTGCTTGTGGCGTGACTAGGTAGTTAAATATGTGCCAGACATGAACACATGGAAATCAAGACTAATCCTAGGGCTGGTGAGATGGGTCGGCTGGCAAAAGTGCTTGCTGCTGAGTTTGATCCCTAGGACCACTTGGTAGGAGAAATCTCCTGAAAGTTGTCCTCTGACCTCTACACGTGTGTGCATGTACACACATACACACACACACACACACACACACACACACGGGACATAATAACATTTCAAAGTGTAGAGAGCCCTGCGTGTTTGGACCTTGTGAGTGGGGAATCTGCGGTGAGGATTGGTCTCACATTTCTTTCCCTGTCCATTTCGTCTCCTGCAGGTCCAGGCGTGTTGGGATGGTGGCTGTGTTCGTGAAGGTGGTTCGCACGGAGAGCCCTTTGGGCCTTTGGAAAGGGATGTCTCCTGTAAGCTGCCTTTTGGATCTGGGTTCTCTTGTGTCTCTCCTTTACCGCTCTCCTCCACCTCACCAGTTGCTGGGGCTATTCCAGCCCCTCCCCGTCTGTGTGCAACAGCTACTTTCACTTTAAGACCAAATCCTTGACAGAAGCTGCTCCTCCGGGCGTGGGTGGAGATGCGTTCCATCGTGGGGGGGGGGGGGGGGGGCTCTGGACAGCCGTGTGGGAGGGGCGTGAGGCAACTCTCCGCAAATCAGGAAGCAGATAGCCTTGGCTAGGGTGGGCGTGGCCGGATGCACTCCGAAGCCACACCCAGCAAGCACCCCGCCCCCTCGGGTTCTGCAGCCCGGGGACAGCGCCACCCACTAGGAGCAGGGTGTTTAACCGCATGGCTTGTGAGGGATGTTTCCCTCACAAACGCACTCTATGGATTTAGTTTCCCACAACTGGCCCTGTTGCAAAAACATTAAGAAGATGATTCTGGTGATGAACGATTCACAGGTGCTCAGTCGCGCACCGTCCTGACCGCGTGTGGGCTTCGCTCTGTCCTCCATGCAGCACGTCCGAGCTGTGCCCACCACTCGCCCCTCAGTCACCTGGGGAGTGAGTTATCAGACCACCTGCTGGGGAGTCTCGAGGGTTGTGCTCAGGAACCCACATTTTACTACTGATGTTCTCAGCGCACAAGAGCGCCGGCGCTGGCACTGTGTTGTGCCAGAGAGGGGTTGGCAGGGCTTTCGGGTGAATGGTGGGCAATCTTGACTCAAGAAGAAAAGGAAGAGCACTGTTCAGCAGGAAGGAGGACCGTGGCCACGCTGTGGAGAAGAGACCCATGATATCTTTGTTGTGAGGTTCAGATTGGTCACAGCCTGGTGTGCAAAGGGCTGGGTTAAGCTGGACAGCGCACCGCGTTTGTGAGCCGACCAGGAACAGAAAACGAGGCTTAACTGATGGCAGCGTGTTACACCAGTGGGCACTGAGCCTGCACGACTGGAGCTCGGCTCTCCTGAAGTGTGGCACAGGCCGCTCAGCACAAGGAGGCACAGCTGCCTGTAACTCCAGGGGCTCCAACGCCCTTTCTGGACTCTGCATTCTCACACACGTGCACAATTCCAGCACTCAGGGGGCAGGGGGATGTCTGTGAATTAGTGGCCAGCAAAGGCTGTCTAAAACAACAACATAGCAGGGAATTGGAAGACTTTGTGGAGTCACATGTCAGAAGAGGGAGAAGAATGGATCAGATCCAGCAGTCTAGATATTACTGAAATTTGCCAAGAGCTTCAGATTCCACATTAAAGGGCAAAGTTGTGGGATCGGATCACTCTGGAGGGCCCAGAAGGTTGTGGCACCTGCAACAACTTTGATGACTTGAGAGGATGCCCAATCATGGTGTTCTGAGCAGCTTCAGAAAGAAATCAGCCTCTGCCAGGGTGGTCTGGCCTGTCAGTGTAGCCATGGGCATCACATGGCTCGGCCCCATGATGGGAGCCTGTGGCCTTCACCTTGCCTCCTCCTCACCCAGACCTTTCCTTTCTTGGCTCCAAATACACCAGAAGAGGGAGAAGAGGAAGCCACGAGGGAAGGGAGGCTGCCGCCTGCACTATGAGTGACCATGGCTTCTCTAACTGAAGCTTTGCCCGTGTTTGGACGGTGGAGACAAGTGTGGTGTGCCTAGGACTCAGTATTGTCCTGTCACTGACGGCTGTACTCTTGAAGTCTGACTGTTAGCGCCGCCCCAGCCCCAAAGCTGGCCTCCACAGTGCAGTCTCATCCTTTCCCCCACCATGAACACAGGCCAGGACAACCACACCTTTGTTTCTTTGCCCCAAGGACCATCTCGCTGGCAGCACCTCGGCCCTGGTCTCACCCTCCAGTCATAGCACCAGAAGATGGGAAGTGATGTCTAAACCACACCCTTGCCCCTTCAGCAGAAAGGTCACAGAGGTGGGGTGGTCACTGATGGCTGCAGCTGGCCAAGGGCCACCACTGTGACTGCTTCAGCCCACTCTCCGCTGGCCAGCCTCTCCTCCCCTTGGCTCTCCCTTCACACTGTACGCAAGTGGCATGCGTGGGCTCCCTGGGGTCCCTTGGAGCTGGCCCTCCAGCAGGCATCCTTGCAGTCTGGAGTCTGATCGTCCGTCCTTCCTTCCTCTGCCTTCCCCGCAGTCCGTCGTGAGGTGTGTCCCTGGTGTGGGGATCTACTTTGGCACACTGTATTCCCTGAAGCAGTACTTCCTGCGAGGCCACCCTCCCACCGCCCTGGAGTCGGTCATCCTGGGCATGGGCTCACGTTCTGTCGCAGGAGTCTGCATGTCGCCCTTCACAGTGGTCAAGACGCGCTATGAGGTGAGTGTGCGCCTTTTAGAACCTTGGGGTTCTGGGTCCTGGCTGTGTAGTCTTCCTTAGAGGCAGACATGTTCAGACGACTCTTCAGGCAAGCCATGTGTGAACCAAAGCCTTCGTGGTGATGGGTCCTACCCGGGCTCTCCTTGGGCTGCCGCTGCTCTGCTTGGGCAGACGCTGGCCTCTGCGGTCACTAGACCCGCCCTCCCTTCACAGAGCGGGACTTACAGCTACGAGAGCATCTGCGGAGCCCTGAGGAGCATCTATTGCAGTGAGGGCCACCGCGGCCTCTTCAGGGGCCTGACGGCAACCCTCCTTCGAGATGCACCCTTTTCAGGGCTCTACCTGATGTTTTACAGCCAGACCAGAGCCGCAGTGCTCCATGGCACAGGTAAGGGGCGTGTGCTGGGCCTGGGTGTGTGTGTGCTGGGCCGGGGGCCGCACAGCCTGGGCTTTTGCCTCTCTCTCTGGGATAGTCTACAGTTTTCACAGTGCAGCCACTTTGGGGCGGGGGCTGGGCTGCAGAGGTGGAGGTACAGATCCCGCCCGCCCGAAGGCTTTGTGTCTCTAAGGAAACAGTGGGCTGAAGGAGAGGCGAGTGTGCTTTGCCAGGGTTCTGCAATGCTACACCACAGACATGATCTGAGGGACCCCAGGGCAGAAGCTTTCCGGTGCAGCCTGCCAGTCTGTTTTTCCGTGAGTCCTTGGTGTGATTCCCCATCAGACCAGCTTCGGAACACTGACTAGTTGTGAGTTTGAGGAAAAATGTTTTCACTTCCCTTTCTGTGTTCCGTCCATTTGGCTGGGGGTGCAAGTGCAAACCTGAGGCGTTTGTTGCCGGCCCACCCACTAGTGAACTTGCTGGCCACAAGAGCCAAGTCTGCGGGTGTCAACGCGACCAGACGCTGCAGCGCTCTGCTGAGTGACCCGAACTCGGTGAAGTTCTGGGTGATCGGGGAAGTGAAAGCCCGGCCCTGGTGCCTGATAGCCAGCTGCAGTTGTCATGTTTGGAGAGACTTCCCCAGGGAACAGGGGTAGCTCACAGCCTTACTTTGCATCAGAGATTTAGGACAGTTAGCAAACAGAAGTGGTATTTAGTTTTCATTTTGAAACCCAGCCTAGAATTCACTATTGTAAACCAGGCTGGCTTCAGATTCCTAGAGACAGCCTGCCTCTGCCTCCAGAGCACTAGGATTAGATGAATCACCAAGCCTAACCTATCTTGTACAATTAACACATTAATTAAAAAATAAAATTTCATACCCATTAGTTATAAAAATCCTTTAAAATTGGAGTAATTTTTAAATATTGGAAATGAATATTGAATCTTTAAAACCAACAGTGTCCTTGATGAATAAAAACTCAAGTTTTCCCACCTAGAGTCAGTAACAAGGGTGTCCGAAGCTGCACCGTCCTGTCAGAGCTGTCAGTGACAGCCACTGTCATGCAGGCCCATCACATCACATGGTCAGGCCTGCCCTGGGCACACTGCTTGACCCTGCCTCTTCCCCATGTACCCGAGAACGTGAGTTTTGTGACCTGCCACTGCCCTGTTGTGTTTCAGACCGGCTGGAGGCTGCTCCGATGCCCCTTGTTAATTTTGGCTGTGGGGTGCTTGCTGGCATTCTGGCTTCGCTGGTGACGCAGCCGGCAGATGTGATCAAGACTCACATGCAGCTCTCCCCAGTGAGGTTTCGGTGGATTGGCCAAGCGGCCATGGTCATCTTCAAGGTAAGGCTGCGAAGTGTGTGCTGCGCTTGTGCTTGGGGAAGTCTCTAGAACAGCTGTACACACCCCTTCCCAGAGTGTTAGCAACATCGGGGAGCGTTAGAAACGCATCCCAGGCGCTGCAGAGATGGCTCCGCAAGCAGGAGTGCATGCTGCTCCTGCAGAAGACGCCTTGGCACGCACCTTCCCACTGAGCCCCAGCTCTGACAGCCTGGTCCAGATCCCTGGCTCGGCAAACAGCCCTTGTCTGCATTTTGTATGCTGCTCGCATACATGTTTCTCTGCAGAGTATAAACCTCGCACTGGCTGAGCAGGGTGGCGCACACCTGCCTTCCCAGCGTTGGGATATGTGCGAGGAGGAGCATCTCCAGGCAAGCAGAGCAGAACAGCAGACAGAACCACACACACCAGCCTGTACACAAGCCTGCAGATAGTTTTTCAGCTAAGGGAAAAACAACACACAACCTTTTAGCTCCCTGGCTCTGGTTTTATTTCATTTTATTTTTAAATTTAACTTAAAAAAATTATTCACATCTCCATTGTCGCCCCTCCCTTGTCTCCTCCCAGTCCTACCCTCCCTCCCCTGAGTCTGGTTTTAATCTCTTAGACCCCAGAAGAAATTTTTAATATTCTTTTAAAACCCCTTTAATTTTACGTGTGTCTGTCTGTGTGAGTGTGTGCCTGTGGAGGCTGGAAGCGGGTATTGCATCCCCTGGGACCAGAGAGAAATCGCTTGTGAGCTGCCATGTGGGTGCTGGGAAGCACACTCTGGAAGAGCAGCAAGTACTCAGCTCCTGAGCTGTCTTTTTAAAGATTTATTTGTTTATTATGTATTCAATGTTTGGCCTGAAGAGGGCACCAGATCACAGTATAGATGGTTGTGAACCAGGAATTGAACTCAGGACCTCTGGAAGAGCAGCCAGTGCTCTTAAATTCTAAGCCGTCTCTCCAGCCTGGCATATACCTTTTTTAAACTAAGAAGTTTGTCTAGGTAGTGCAGATCTAAAGAGGTGGACTCAGCAGGTACAGTAAAATTGGAGGTTTATGGGTTATCTCCTTGGGCCATAGTTCATAGGTTTGTCATGACATTAAACACCAGGATTCTAGAGTGGAGTAGCAAGCTGTATGGTGACAGGGTGTCATTGGCTGCATTGCTGCTCAGTGTCTGAAGTCTTGACACTTGTTTTCGTCACAGAACCATGGGCTGCGTGGCTTCTTTCATGGCAGCGTTCCTCGGGCCCTCCGTAGAACTCTAATGGCTGCCATGGCATGGACTGTCTATGAGGAGATGATGGCCAGGATGGGCCTGAAGTCCTGACAAGAGATGGCTGGGGAAGGAAGATCTGCTGTCCCGCACGGGTCCTGCCACGGCTGCTGCAGCGCTCTCCTGGAGTCTGCTGAAGCAAGTGCTGTTGCCTTTAGTCCCCCATTCAGAGAGAACCGACAGGTGACTAGAGCCCCGGAAGTCACCAGCGCCTGTGCATACTCCCGTCAGCACACATGGGAGCGGGGGGGCCGAGCTAGGCCGCTCCACACGGCTGTGTGCGAGGCGTTTCTGGAGACTACCTGCATCACAGGGCGCCTTAGATATGCTGGTCAAGGAACTCCACGGTAGAGAAGCTGTGGCCTCCTGCCACGTCTGAGGTAGGAATCTCTGGTGAAGGAAGGCTGGACCTACGAGCTGTCTGGACCAGTGAGATGGCAAGTGCTGCTTGTTTGAGGGCCTCCGCTGGGCCACTGTGGAGGAGAGAGCCAACTCCTGCAAGCTGTCCTCAGCGCTCCGCACATGCGCGGTGGCACACTCCATACCCAGTAATGAATGTAATAAAAATAAAGACATCAGCAGGCTGGAGACTGTCTGAGGTGACAAAACAACAAAAAAAAAAAGACATTAATCTTGTTCCTAGGGAACTTCCCATTGGCCCCATTGAATGGGTACAGTTACTTCCTAGCCTTCAAATGTATATTTTCCATAATTAAAGTTCAGATGAATAAAGCAAAGCACTTTGAGAGCTGTTTGGAAAACAGAAAACCAAAAAACATAGCAGAGGGAGGAGGTGCAAGCCATTAATCCCAGTATTTATCAGGGAGAGGCAGGTGGTTCTCTGAGTTCAAGGCCAGCCTGGTCTACAGAGTGAGTCCAGGACAGCCAGGGCTACACAGAGAAATGCTCTCAAAAACAAATGGAAAAATAAATCCAGCTTTAGTTTACATACTAAACAATGTACCTGTTTGAAGTCCACCTTCAGTGGTTTGGGGCTGCATGTATGGCAGAGTGGAGTGCTAATACATGCAAGGTCCTGGGTTCAATCCCCACCCCCACCAACAGAACAAACCTGAGGAAAAGCTGTGGTCCAGTGTGGTGGTGCAGGCCTGTCTGCCTGTCTCTGGGAGCCACAGGCAGAACAGGGAGCGCAGCCCTCCACTTGTGGAACCCTGTCTAAAAGTGTAGCCATGACCTAAATTAGTTTCAGAACATTTCTACCCCATGGGAAGATCTCATACTCATAATCCTCGTTCCCACCACTGACCCCTTTTTCTTGTTTGTCTTTTGAAGACAGGGTGTTTCTGGGTAGCCCTGGCTGTTCTGGAACTCACAGAGATCTGCCTGCCTCCTTAGTGCTGGAATTAGAGCCACAGCCCAGACTGCCCGGCCTGACCACAGCATCTAATAGGTTTTAGGATAGTCTGTTTTCTTTTACTTACCAAAATACTTCGGTGCACATTCCTGGTGTGGCAAGTTCAATACTTTGCTCTTTTTAGTTTTACTTTTTTATATTTATTTTTTGAGACAAGGTATTACTACATTCTCCACTGTTAGAATTAACAGCGTTTTCCCCCTGAAGTGCTGGGAGCTGAACAAACCGAGAGCCATGTGGAGCAGCCAAGTTCGGCTGCCAGCTCCCATGTGTGCTGAAGGGAGTGTGCACTGGCAACTCAGCCACTGCGCCACGCCCTCACTCACAGCCCTCCAGTCTTTTGATAGTTTCGTTATATGCCTGTATGGTCATTTGAGGAATTTGTTCCGGAATCCTCCATGGATGCCAAGCCCGATGGTGCTCCAGTCCCTCATGCAGTGGCCTGGTGTTTTCCAATACCCTCCCACATACTTCAAATCACCTCTAGATTGTGACGTGGACTACAGTATAAACGCTTTGTAAATAGATGGCTTATTACCCAAATTTCTCCACGTGCCCTTCAACATTTGTAATTATCCCACGGGGTAACCACCGTTTTGTTCTCGGATTTACGTTCCTCAAGGAGCAGAGGGCTGGGTGGGTACGTGCTCTGGGGGTTAATAGTGTCAAAGAAAGGGGGACAGCGTAGGCTGGTTGTGTCAAACACTGTTTTCACCGAGTTTGACTTTTCGGCCATCTTTAACACACAGGTGTCAGAGTTCTCTTCAGGTTCCAATTCTTTTGTACTATAGGACATATTTTATCCTTAAATGACTCCACTGCAATTGACTGGACCGAGTAGTTACTAAGCGCATTTTTTTTTTTTGCTCTTTGACCAAAACATATTTTTTTTGCGTGCAGTCTTGCTTATACTTTGAAGAAACCATCCCAGAGATGAAGTCTGAATTGCCCGTGGTAAATCGGCCTCCAGGTTGTGCTTGCTGGGCACAGGCGTGACTTCGGCAAACCTAAAAGGACCAGGGGCGGAGTCCCAACCTCGGTCCACCAGCTACTTCCGGCCCAGGCGCGGGACAGTTCAACTTCCGCTCCCCGCGCTCGGGAGCGGGCCCGCTTCCTGAGCCTGCGCATGCGTCCCGCGCCGCCCGCGGGGCGAGACGCTCTGCCCGCGTCGCTTAAGCTGCTTTGCTATTGGCTGGCTGTGGGCTATTTAAGGACGTCATTTCCGGGCTCCAGTCTTTTCCGCGCTGCCCGGGGACGGGTCCATACGGCGTTGTTTTTGGTGAGTGTCTCGTGGGGCGCTCGGTGCCATCCGACCCCGCGGGCCCGAGCTCCGCGCCCCGTGGGCCGGCGCGGAGGGCGCCGAGGCTGCGCAGGCGGGGCGGGCTGCTTACCGGCGGCCGCAGCACGTGGCGGCCTCCGCGGAGGTGGGGCGGCCGCTCTCCCGAGGCGCCGCTGTGCCTCGTGCCAGGCTCCAGCCAGGGGCCTGTCGGAGGGTGCTGGGAAAGTGCTTGTGAGGCTCCCAGAGGTGGATTCGGAACTGCCGGCACGTTCTAGACATACATAAGACCAGAGGCAACCCGAGCATGGCTGCCCTTTCACACCTCACTGTGGCGTGTCCAAACTTTAGACTGCCTGCGGAAGCGGTAACTTACAGTTGGCCAGATTTTCCGTGCGTGCTCTGCTGCCAAAGCCACTTACTCAAAAGATCTGATGGCAGTTGGTGATGGGTGGCCAGAGAAGCTGGAAGGGATGGAGGACTGTGGATACAGGCCACTTAAGCTTCGCCCAAAGGGTGTGCCGAGGTGGCGGCCCACCTTTCATCCCCGCACTCCGGAGGCAGGTAACTTTGTGAGTGCTAGCTCACACAGACCCGGTCTCAGAATGAGAGAAAAACTAGAGTTATTGTTTTTCCTTCAGATTCCCAGCGTAACTTAAAGGGAAAACTTACACAATGTCCGGAGCCCTTGATGTCCTGCAGATGAAGGAGGAGGATGTCCTTAAATTCCTCGCCGCAGGAACCCACTTAGGTGGCACCAACCTTGACTTTCAGATGGAGCAATACATCTACAAAAGGAAGAGTGATGGTCAGTTACCGCTCTTGATAATTCGGGTGATTTGCTAAGCTTGTGGCAATCCTGTTCTTGTGGGGAGGACTGCGCCTGAATGTCTTGTTTGGAGGAATCCGTTGGCTTGGGAGTTGGGATGGAAGATTTTCTGAAGGGAAGAGACAGCTGACTGCACACTGTTAAAGCTCAGGGTGGAGGCCAGTCTTGGCCAGTGAGCCTCTGAGTGTCGGAGGTGTGCTACATTGAGATGGCAGGATTTCGCTGACACCAGTAGAGCTTGCCTCTGACTGGAGTTCCGTAGCGGCCACTGCTACATACATGAACACTACCTTCCTACCGAGTATCTGATTGCTCAGCTAGGCCAGCAAACCAATCTGGGGCGCCGGGATCAGTCCCTAACTCCCATTTTAAAAATTCACTTGTTTCAGGGTGTGATGGTGCATCTATTATATTAAATAGCAGCACTAGGATGTCAGAGGTAGATCTGATAAGCCTGGTTTACAAAGTGAGTGCCAGGGTTTTTGTTTTGTTGTGTGTGTGTGTGTGTGTGTGTGTATATATACACATATGTATATATGTATGTGCTGCCCTAGGTATCTACATCATAAATCTGAAGAGGACCTGGGAGAAGCTGTTGCTTGCTGCTCGGGCTATTGTTGCCATTGAGAATCCTGCTGATGTCAGCGTCATCTCCTCCAGGAACACTGGCCAGGTCTGTAGAATGGGGCCTGGGTTTGGGGACACAATCCCCAAAGACACGACAGAGTACACAGTGAAGTAGAAGCCCCCAACGTGGATACCCCAGGAGGTCACTGCCTGGGCTCTGTCCTGGTGGCGTAGGGGAGCATAGGCATTGCACAGTGATGTACAGCCCCTTTCCACGCCGTTGGAGATGAAGCTGGGCTTTGTGTCCGCGCCTGCATATTCCTACGACTTCTCAGAGGACTGCCTGAGGAGGCAAACCATGCAGGAAACAGTCTCATCTCAGTGGCGGGCAGTGCAGGATGTTTGAGAAAAAATAGCCTTGTTGATTTTAAAGCTTACGCCAGCCACAAATGGCCTGGCCAGCTAAGTCTAATGTTGCCATGAGGGTCTGGTGAGTTCATCTCTGCAGGTGGTTCCTCGAGTGGACTTGACTAGATCCTGTGCTGGGGAGCAGGATAGAATGTGGCTCGGTTGCTGTTTCTAGATGCTGGGGTTCAGCAGAAAGGATTGTGTTTCCTGGAGGGAGGCAGATTAACTTGTAAATGTTACTGCACTCTTCTCTGTATAGAGGGAAGGTGCTACTCAGTGGTTGGGGCAGCTGTTGCGCTTGCAGGGCCTTCAGGTCCGTTCCCTTCACCCACTTGGTGGCTCACAGCCATCCAAAATTCAGTTCAGGGGATCCAACACTTCAGTGTATGGGTGGCATGCTTGCTCACATTGCAAGCAGACAGCTCAAATACAAAGTAAGAAGAAGGAGACCTTTTCTGGAGGAAACTTGAGGTCAAGGGTCAGAAAGGAGATGGGCCTGCAGGTGTTGGAGCTAGCTAGTGTGCTTTGGTGTTGAAGGGTGACATGTGACCAGGAGTGGCTGTCAGCAGTTTTCCTGTGAACCATGCTTAGGAATGCTGACTCAGTCTCCCCTCACAGCGAGCTGTGCTGAAGTTTGCTGCTGCCACTGGAGCCACGCCGATTGCTGGCCGCTTCACACCCGGAACCTTCACTAACCAGATCCAAGCGGCCTTCAGGGAACCACGGCTTCTGGTGGTGACTGATCCCAGGGCTGACCACCAGCCCCTCACGGAGGCCTCTTACGTCAACCTGCCCACCATCGCTCTGTGCAACACAGATTCCCCTCTGCGCTACGTGGACATTGCCATCCCGTGCAACAACAAGGTACTGGCTCTGATGTGGAGCTCAGGCCTGAATGAGCTCTGGGGAAGCTGGCATGCCTGTGCACATTGTTAGAGCTTGGAGTTGAGGTCACGTTGGCCGATGAACTCCCAAGTGTAGGTAGTGTGCTAAACGAGGGGCAAGGTTTCGCTAACACCCCACTCTGGTCCAGTGAGTGGGGTTTGATAGTAACCTTTGCTACAAGTGGGATACTGCTGCCTGCATGAAACCGGTCTCTGTTCTAAGTGAACAAGGGGCATAGGAGTAATATCTGTACCAGTGTGTTCCTGTGCCCGAGGTAATGAGCTGCCATGTGGGTGCTGGGACTCAAAACTAAGACTTGGTACCAAGTGTTGGCATGGGGGCGGGTGAGGAAAGTGGGGCCAGGCTTGTGCGTGGGGCTGGCCTGCTGTTTAATGACGCTCATCGATTGCAGGGCGCTCACTCGGTGGGTCTGATGTGGTGGATGCTGGCCCGGGAAGTACTCCGCATGCGTGGCACTATCTCCCGTGAGCACCCGTGGGAGGTTATGCCTGACCTTTACTTCTACAGAGACCCGGAGGAGGTAAGGCTTTTATTTTACTCAGTGCTTGTGGTGATGGGTGAATGGGAGGCCCTGGTCTGGTGCAAGGAGGCTAATGTCTGTTCTGTGCTTGACAACTAGATTGAGAAGGAGGAGCAGGCTGCTGCTGAGAAGGCCGTGACCAAGGAGGAATTCCAGGGCGAATGGACTGCACCAGCTCCTGAGTTCACTGCCGCTCAGCCTGAGGTGGCAGACTGGTCTGAGGGTGTGCAGGTGCCCTCTGTGCCCATCCAGCAGTTCCCTACTGAAGACTGGAGTGCCCAGCCAGCCACTGAGGACTGGTCAGCAGCTCCCACGGCGCAGGCCACCGAGTGGGTTGGGGCCACCACAGAGTGGTCCTGAGCTCTGCAGACACCTGAGCAAAGGGGGAAAAGGTGGAAGGAAAATAAAGTTCCTGAAAGCTGTCTCCTGAGGTTTTTACTCCAGGCCTTTGCCTGGGTTGGTGTCAGGTACACTCCTGGGCACTGGGTAAAAGGTACTGATGAACTCAACAAGTGTGCAGGCGTGGGGCCTGAGTGTGTGTGGGGGGGACTTCCCAGGGTTTTAATGACCTTTTGTGTTGAGCACCTCGGCTTGTGTACATGTTTTAGGAGAAGGGTTTTGTGTAAAGTACAATAAGCAAGTCCTCGGTGGAAGGTGCTGATCCCAGAAGTTTTGTTGATCCCTTCCGTTCATGACTTGCTAAAAGGCATGCCCTTCAGGAAGGAGACCCTGAGAAAATGAGGATAGGTGCAGCTGGGTCTTGCTGGCGCACTCCTGAAATCCCAGCAGAGGCAGGTGGGTCTCAAGGCCAGTCTGTCTGCAAAGTGAGCAGCACAACCAAGGCTACACCGAAGCCCTGTTGGGGTGAGGTAACAGGCATATAGGTAATCCAAGAGATGGTGACACATTCACTTAGGTTACATTATGTTCCAAATATGTTCTGCAAACCTACCCTGGTTACATTAGAACATGCCCAAAGTGTCCTGAAAGCAGCCAATAGGGAAAAAATTCTGTAAGTGCCGCCCAGAGTTCAGAGGATGAGGCAGACAAGTGGGAAGTATTCACCTGAGCAAAAGACCACAGGCCCCTGACAAGGGACGCCCGACCTAAGGCCAGAAGCATCAGCTTACACTAGTAACATCCCGGCTGAGTGGCCACACCTCTTCCCAAGGGGGAAAGCCTTCGGTTTTGGGTGCTTGCCGGGCTTTGAGGGTTAGACTTGCTGTTTAACCAAACCATTAAGGGATTGCCGTTAGCGGAAGGGTACAAAAGACCTGGAAGCAGAAACAGCCTTACCTGGTAGGCAGAAGTAGCAATGTGATTGGTTATTAAGGGTGTTTTCCGTTGCAAAGACCAGAAATGAGGCTGCCAGGTTTGACTTGCGGGATAGTCTCTCCATAAATTTAGAAATTAAGTGTGGGCAATTGCCATTCCTTGCCACTTAATGCCCAGCTCAACAGGACACTTTACCAGTGCTGCCGTTACTTTTGAGCAATACATGCTAAAAGGCCAGCCCCTACTGAACTAAGCCACATGTAGGATCTAACAGTTAGGAGGGGCTTCCAGGAAGTACCCTCTAACTCAGAGAAAACAGATTTCTGTCCTGTGAAGGGGTGTGTGTGTGCGCGTGCTCACACAAGTCAAACATTTTTCATTGAGGTTTAAAACAAAGGCACTCCAGGAGAGAGACTGGGCTCTCTGGCACTAAGTTGGCTCCATAGGAAATTCCCTGCGAGAAGTCCCAGCCGTGTGGGGGTTTTCTGTCTCCTCATATTCCCAAGACTTAGCTGTGGACTGTAACTGTGACCTCATGGCCAAGTGGCTCCTGTGGAAGCACACAGCAATTAAGAACTCTGAGGGGATTAAAACAAGAAGACATGGGCAGGAGTGGGAGAGGACAAAGGCAAGTCTTATTGGAAAGAAGCTGCACAGTTCTCCTTGCCTTGTCACACTTCCCGGCCCAGGGCCAGACTCAGACCCCCTCAAGCAGGGCAACTAAAATCTGGGTAGAGTCTGAGGGCCCTCCAGGTCCAGCTGACTTCAACAAACTGCAAATCCCCCGCGCCAGGAAGCAAGTACACTAAGAATTGTACGTCCATGGGTGACGGCCATAAATACTATGGAGCAGGGGACTTCAAATGTCAGGAAATGCAGAGGAGGGAGTCACTGTGCTGGGTTTGGGGTGGAAACTAGAAAACTCCCTTCAGAGACAGAAGCTTACAAGTGAAAGCTTTATTTTCTGCCCATGCAGGAAGGCGGCCGGTTAGGGATTTGAACCCCGACAGGAGATTGTACAACGTCAAAGGATGGGAACACAAATCGAGGGGGAGCATGCGGGACAATGTACCATTGTCCAATCATACTTTGACATCATAGGGTTTGGAGCACAGAGGTAAACATTGGTGACTGAGCCTTGATGGGGTCAGCCCAGCGTCTTTGACTCAGCTTTGTAGTCAGGTCCCCTCCTGCACTCTGGCCCAGAATGATAACAGAGGAGTGGCCGGCTGCACGTGGTCAATTAAGTCTTGCAGGAAATATATTTACGACTTGTGTACCTCAGTTCAGCTAATCGGCAACTTCCTCTTTTTATCCTTTACTGATTAACAGACAAACACCTGAAGAAGCAGGACTGGAGTTGGTTCCAGAGCCTGGGAACATGAACTCAGTTTTGCCCTTGTCAGCAAGATGGAGGTTGCTCCTGAGATGGCTGGACTCGGGCAGCTATCTTCTAACAATTGGTAGGTCAAAGACCGAGCATAGAGGAATGCAGCAGAGCAAAAATAGCTTGGTTCTTTTTTTTTTAATTACCCTTTATTCACTTTGTATCCCCCATAAGCTCCTCCCTCCTCCCCTCCCGATCCCACCCTCCACCCCCTTCTTCATGCATGCCCCTCCCCAAGTCCACTGATAGGGGAGGTCCTCCTCTCCTTCCTTCTGATCTTAGTCTATCAGAGCTCATCAGGAGTGGCTGCATTGTCATCTTCTGTGGCCTGGTAAGGCTGCTCCCCCCTCAGGGGGAGGTGATCAAAGAGCAGGCCAATCAGTTCATGTCAGAGGCAGTCCCTCTTCCCATTACTATGTAACCCACTGGGACACTGAACTGCCATGGGCTACATCTGTGAAGGGGTTCTAGGTTTTCTCCATGCATGGTACTTGGTTCTTATGCATTGGTCACAAACACGCATCTGGGGGCTAGGACAAAGCTTTTTGCTCACGTACTATTCGCCAAGATGGAGAAGAGCCTGTGTGGAGAGAGGAAGGGCAGGGAGCCACTGGCTAGGAACCATCTTCTAGGAACTCACTTTCTGAAAAAAGGAGCCGGAGATGGCGGGCAAAGGTGCTGAGGCCCTTTCCTGTAGAAGCGAGCCAGCAGCAGCACTGCAGAGATAGAAGTCTTGCAAACTCGTCCAACCCTCTCAGGTGTGGGAAGCCCCTTCCCATGGCCTTTGTTGCAGCAACGTTTCAGGCCCAGGACAGTGAGGTCAGAGAAGGCTGGCGTTGAGTCCTGACATCCTCCGGGCTCTCGCCGTGGTCTTGGT